ACCTGGATTCCCACACCTGGATCCCACCTGGATCCCCAGCCCCAGATTCCACCTGGATTCCCACACCTGGATCCCACCTGGATCCCCAGCCCCAGATTCCACCTGGATTCCCACACCTGGATCCCACCTGGATCCCCAGTCCCAGATCCCACCTGGATTCCCACATCTGGATCCCACCTGGATCCCACCCCTGGATCCCACCTGGATCCTCAGCCATGTTCCACCCACCTGAATCCCACCTGGATCCCATTTGGATCCCCAGACCTTTCACATCCCCCTGGATCCTCAACATGTTCCACCCCCGTGAATCCCACCCGGATCGCAGCCTCTTCCACCTGGATCCCCCCCACGTCCCCCCCACCTGGATCCCCCTGGCTCCCCCCCCGCCCTTACCGTGGCTCATCCCAGTCGATCCCAGGTCATTCCCAAGTCATTCCCAGCCCCACCGCTGCCTCCTCCGGGTCAGGACCCCCGGCCTGGGGGGAGAGGAGAGGAGGGGGCGGCTCTCTGGAGGCCCGGGGGGACCTCGGGGGTCCCAGGGGGTCCCGGGACTCACCCCTCCCACCGTCCCTCCCAGGGGTCCCAGGACGTCCCGGACGATCCTCTCCTGTCCCTCCCGGGGGTTCGGGGCCCATCAGTCCCGCTGAGGAGGTTCTGGGGGGTCCCGGGGGGGTCCCGGTTCCCCCCGTGTCTCACCCAACCCCGCGCTCGCCATGGGCGCCGCCATTTTGCGCGCCACCGGCACGAAAGCCCCCCCGTTGCCATAGCAACGGCAGGGACGCCTCTCGCGGTGCCTTCGTGGAAGGCCCCCGTTGCCATAGCGACGGGGCTGCCCCGCGCAGCGCCCGATTGGAGCCGCGCCCGGAGCCCCTCCCCGGCCTTTATCCCAGAGAGTCCCAGAAATCGGGGGGTTTATCCCGATAAACAGCTCCGGGCTGGACAAAGGCGTGGCCGGGCTCAGTTACACCTGTGCGGGTCAGACACGAACACCCCGATATCCCGACAGAAACATTGGGATATCCCGATAACACCCCCCCCCGAACGCCAATAAAAACATCCCGGTGCCCACATCCCAATATCCCGACATCACACCCTGCTATCTCCCCAGAAACATCCCGATATTCCGATAAAAACATCTGATATCTCCATAAAAATATCCCAATATCCCCAAACGCTCCAATATCTCCACAGAAACATCTCGAGGTCCCAATAAAATCATCCCAATTAAAAAAACCCCAATATCCCAACAAAAAATCCCGATATCCCGACAGAAACCCCCCAATATCCCAATAAAAAGAATCCCAATCTCCCGCCACCAACGCCCCGTGTTCCTGAGGGGATTTTTCCCCCACACCGTGGGAATTTATTTTGGGAATATCTCTGGGAACTCGGTTCATTGTTAATGGAATAAAACCCCCGTTTAACCCTTCCCTGTCCCTCCTGGAATGGTTGGACTTGGGAAGGGATCTCCAAGCTCCTCCTATAGGGATGGATTCCAGGGTGTTTTCCTGCCCCATTCCTTGATTTTTCCTGCCCCATTCCGTTCGCTTTCCTGCCCCATTCCATTTGTTTTCCTGCCCCATTCCCAGTTTTCTTTCCCTGTTTCTTGTCCTCCTGCCCCACTCCGTTTGCTTTCCTGCCCCATTCCATTTGTTTTCTTGCCCCATTCCCACTTTTCCCGTCCCATCCCGTTTTCCCACCCCATTCCCAGTTTTCCCACGCCATCCCCAGTTTTTGTGCTCCGTTCCCTGTTTTCCTACTCCCAGTTTTCCCGCCCCATTCCCTGTTTTCCTGCTCCACCTCCCAGTTTTCCTGTCCCATCCCAGTTTTCCCAAGGCCCCCCCCAACACGCGGAGATCCCAAAAACACCTTTATTGGTACAAACGGCTGGAACGGGAACGGCGGCGCCGGCGGGAATGGGACTGGGAGGGATTGGGAGGCACTGGGAGGGACTGGGAGGGCACTGGGAGGGCACTGGGCAGTGCCAGAGCTCCAGGTTCATCCCATTGTGGACTGGGAGGCACTGGGAGGGCACTGGGAGGTGCCAGAGCTCCAGGTTCATCCCGTATTGGACTGGGAGGGACTGGGGGGTACTGGGAGAGACTGGGAGGGACTGGGCAGTGCCAGAGCTCCAGGTTCACCCCATTGTGGACTGGGAGGGACTGGGAGGGCACTGGGAGGGACTGGGAGCTGCTACTGGTAGTAGAGCTCCAGGTTCATCCCGTCGTGGATCTCATCTGGAGCCGCCGTCAAGGAAAAGGGGACTGGGGGGTTTGGGGGGGGTGCCCCTGTGCCCCTTTTCTTTCCTTGACCCCCCCCAGCCCCGAGGATTCCATCCGGGACCTGAAGAAGTTGATCGCGGCGCAGACGGGCACCCGCTGGGACAAGATCGTGCTCAAGAAATGGTGAGGGGGGCACGGGGGGGGGCACCCGGGGGGGCTCCTGGGGCTGGGGGGGCACCCAGAGGGGCTGGGGGGGGGCAAGGGAAGAAAGGGGGGACAGGGGGACCCCCCCAAAACCCCCCCGGCCCCCCCCCCCCCCCCCCCCCCCCCCCCCCCCCCCCCCCC